GATTGTAGCGAGAGTGCAAGAATCGAAAAAAGGGACTGATAAGCAGGCTGAATAACGATTCCCAGGATTTGGGCTAATGGGAACCAGTTCTCTACAAGAACCGGTTCTTGATCCCTAGTTACCAGGTGGGAGAGGTCTCTAGTGGTCAGAGGTCATTTCACACACTCAGTTGTACCTGAGAGGATGAGTTTTGTAGCCAGGTTTCGGACATCAGGTAGGAACTGTTCCTCAGTAAACACGTGATCTTCCTTTTCACACAAGTACCTGAACATCAGCTGGACAATAAAAAAAAACAACATTCCAGTGAATTAAAGAAGAAACGAATAAGCTAATACTTTAATAAAATTCAGTCAATAGTAAATTAACAATGTTAACAACTGCTAACAATAAAATGATTGGTAATGTTTTCTAAATGGTTAATAGTTTAGTTGTAAACCATCCTGACCATGGTAACTATAAAGTTGTCATTAATTATTTTACTATGCATCTGTAAGTCTATAAACATTACACACAAGACTAAAATAAAGTTGTAATTGACGTTTGGAATACCAATTTTAAAGCACATAAGTAGGACTCATCTTTACTATCTCTTCAGACTCTGTGATATGAACTGCACCCCTCTCTAAAGATGATCTTAATATATTTGTGCTGTATGCAGGCAAACCATGAAGTAGACAAAACTGTATTTGTCTTACTAAAGACAAAAAGTTTTCAAATTCTATAAATCAAGTTTTTAATACAGTTTTGGTTTATGGTCATAAAATGGCTTAGGGAAAATATTTAAATTTTACAAGTTTAAAAGATGAGAGTACAGCATGTCCTTTCATGTTGTTAGAAACAATGCCATGATTGTTAGTCATAAATATGATAAAAATTGTTAAAGTGATTCATGTTTAATGACCTTTCTTAGCTTACACTAAAAGGTCCATAATTTGTTGGACATTGACACTTTTTGTGGTTTTCTCCTCAAGTGAGGGAACCATCATTAGGCTGAAAAACCCACATAAACCCATCAGAGAGATAGCAAAAAAAACTTCAGGAGTGATCAAATCACTAGTGAACGGAAGGGTTGCACCAGCTATAAAATCCACAACCAAAACATCTGAAAGATCACAGAAGACAACTTAAACTAGATGGTGACGGATCTAACCAAGTCAAGAACACTTTCAGGAAGATAGGTTTTATCATGGTCAGTGTGGAATCCAGAAAGCCTTCAAGAATGTAAACCCTCTGGAAATACAGAGGGTTTAGGTGTAGACCACTGATTACACATGAAAGAGGAAGGCCAGATTAGACTTTGGCAGAAAAAATCTAAGAGACGGCACAAGCAATCTAAGGGTTTTATCAACAAAGAAATGGTGGGTAAAAATCAGTCATCTGACCTCAACTCAGTAGAGCATGCTCCTTAGTTAATGAAGACAAAACTGAATCTCTAGTGATGAAAAAGGATCATGTGATTGCTGCTTAAGGTAGAATTAAACTCCTCTATACAACAAGTTCATTCTTTAAACAACTTAGAAATGTGCGGTTGAAAACAGTTGCGATTAGTGTAAGTGCCAGCATGTCAAGCTAATAAAACTATATGACAAAAGTGGTATGTGTAATCAAATAAAGTTCCAAATTAAAATTGTAGGAGGATAATTCTGGATTCAGTTCTGCTCAGGAAAAATGGTGTGCACAATATGTTGTTCACAACAGTCACTCCTCACTAAATACACTTAGTCACAGAGAGAGATACTCAAGTTAAAGGACCTGATATGAGTCTAAGAAGGGT